AAAAAAAAAAAAAAAAAAAAAATTCACCAGTTCTGCCTGTAATGCAACACTGTGTCATGAAAGTAATCATACTATTACAAGTTTTGGATTTGGGTAGGGAACAGGGATATTTAAAATAAAGTAGTTATTGCATGCAAGATTATTGCATGCAAAATAATTCATCTTTTGTGGATAGCAGAGACTAGGGAGCATACTTCTAAAATACTCTTGTGAAATTAAACTCAATTTAAAACTTTTTATGAAAAAACTGTAAATTTGCGCACATTCTTTTTCACCTATGAGTAAAACATTTTAAATTTTAATATAATTAATAATATCAGTGTTGGGATATATTACTTGTATACAGTTATGCTTTTAACTTGTTTCTAAGAAAAGATAGTCTGTGCCCAATTATGCAACTTTTGCATAGGTTGTATAAGCTATTTGTAGTCTCCTTACGGGTGCTGCTACAGGGTACCTGCCTTTTAAAGGCCTCCTAGTGCCCGCAGTGTCTCTCCCTACTTCAGTATTCTCACCTGCCATGTCTTGACGTAAAAATTAGTAGGACAGGCTACACAGAGGATAAGGCATGCTTTGAAGAAGTAGGCTGTTGTCCGATCTGTGGCTTCCCTCCCAGCCTAACTTTCGCTTTTACTTCAGTTGAGCCCTCTAACTTGGGACCCATGGTGCAGGGTTCGGGTTCGGGTTCAGTCACTCCCTGTGACCTCAGGTTCCAGGCTCTGCAATGTCCCCTGTGTAGGCAGCTATGGGCCTCATCTTGTTTTCCCCCTGCCACCTTCCTGTCTTACAGTCCAGGCAGGTTTGGCCTCATTCAGCCACAGAATGTACCCTGATCCTTATCCTCTGTCCACTCAGCTGAATTTCAAGTTTGGGGTGTCCCCGATCACACCTGTTCGTGGACCTCTGCCTCCCCTTCAACCACAAACCAGTTCTCTGGCTGAAATATGACAAACATAAAATACCAATGCCGATCCCAGCTCAAAAAAATGCCCTGCTTAAGGTTTGCCACGCCCCCTTGGTTTGCCCACCTTCCCTTCACTCGGGGATCCCTCCTGAGTCGTCTTGCCACAGTGTGGGCTTCTGATCTTGTACCTGTCCGGGAAGGTTCTGTCCCTGACGGCTTCCATAGCCAAACTGCCTCTACCTCTTCCTGGCCTGAGGATTGAGCTTATGCGGGGTGCTCTGGGTCCCTATATCCCTTTACTTTTGCCCCATTGGGTCATCTGCCTCTCCCTGGACCTGGTGGCTGTCTTTGCTTCAGACTCCTCTGCCTGCAGGTTTGCCTCTGGCATCATCAAAGGGACACGGGTAGAAGGCACAGGGAGACAGAGTGTAAGGGAGGTGGGAGTGGTGGGGGGGAGGAGGAGGGAGAAGGAAGGGATTCAGAACCGAGGAACAAGGAAATCGGGGGAAGGGACCTTGAACCAGGGAAGGGATGCACTGGCAAACACAGCAAGGTAAGAGGGGAGAAAGGAGGCAGGGCAGGAGAAAAGGGCCAGGTGCCTCTAGATCCCCTTCCCATTCTAGTAATGGGGTAGGGGCCCTGTTGTTCTATTTAAAAGCAAACTAAAAATAGTTTTCATAATGCCAGTATGTATGAACTATATCATATCAAGCTGCACTAATTCATCTACATGATAACTATCACAGCATGAGGAAATGAATTGTTGTCTCTGCATTAAGACCTGTTTGGTAGTTCTTTCAGTCATTTTCAATACACTGTTTGTGTTTAGAATTCCAGTTTGTAAACTTGTTGTAGGTGCCTGTTTGCATGTTCAAAACTGTGTGTGTTCGTATAAATAGATTGACACCTGTACTCAGAGTGATTGTGGCTGCAGTCAAGGAAGTTGTGGGCCTAGAACAGGTTAGAAGACATTCTGGATGTTGAAAACAGGATATTGGTGTACACACCAAGTCTGCTAATTAGTTTACATCACTTCAAGATTTCAAAGTCAAGCAGTTGCATAGTGGTTACTGTACTTAGTTTAGATGGGAAAGTTTTAGCTTTTCCACAGGTCCTGGTTAGTCTTTTGTGGAAGGAAATTTTGAAAGAAAATTGTGTGTATGTGTTGTAATTTTTTTGAGTGGATTACATAATTCCTTTGCATTATTGATCAGGTTTGGATTCAGTTAGCCCTAATTAAAATCTTGGAAGCATGCCAAGAGCTGGACCCTGTAGCTCAAAAAAGAATCCTGATTGGTTAAATTTAGATTAGATTAATTCAGATGCCTAGTATCGCTGAAGCAGGTACCACTGATTGGGTCCTAAATTCATGTGGTCTTAAATTTTGATACATTCTTTAGAAGTGGTACTTAGCAAAAGTGGTCTCATTCCTTTGTTGTATTTCAGTGGTGGTGGTCTGTCTTATAATAGAACGTTGACCCCTGTAAAAAGTTAAAAAATACTACTTTGATGCATTTCGCAATGGGTTTGGGATGCATATACAGACCTCTGTTGACCCCTTATATTCTGCTGAGTTTGTATGTTGCCAGAAAAACCACTTCCTGTTCCTGTTGTAAAGGCAGCCTTCTGTAGTACCTTTCTAAATAGTATAATCTAAAACCTTCCTTGAGAATACCCATGCTTGTAGTTAATTTTTTCCCCTGAGATTTTTTTTAAAAAGGCATTGAAAAGGTTATTACATGTACAGAATTTTCTATTAAGTCTCATATCAAGAATACTATTCATAATGTTGTTGTGAATTTCTTTCATTTGCCCCATCATTGAAGCATGTGTAATACCTTACTGTGAAGGGTTTTTTGAGCAGGGAAAAATCACCAGTTGTTTAAAGGATAACTTACTATTGGAAGTAAAAGTGGATGCATTTTAATTTTCCTTTTATAACCTTATTTTATGACTAAAATGTACTGATTTGAGGATACATTAATTTAAACTTTAATAAATGACTTATGTAAAGGGGGTGAAGTTTTGTATTGATTGTATGATGATGTTATAGGTCAACATTTTCAAATGGAGGCCTTTGACAGGTGTTCTATTTTGAAGTACTTCAAGTGCCATTGAAGCAAGGGTGCAAACGCTTGTGGCCAAAGCAGCAAATCAAAAAATGGTTGAAGTGGTTCATAAATGGCCCTTGAAAAAGAGGAACATCTTTATGAAATGCTTCATGCCTTCATGGCCAATTTGAAGCGCACTGAGCTGCTGACAGCTTTAAATGCATGTCTGTCTAAAGCTGCATCTAAGGTCTGTCTAAAGTTGGGCTATAAAACCCATGTTAAATAAGTCAGTTAAATAAATAACACCCCTAAAAGTCAGGCCATTATGTTGTAAACAAGGGTTGAGAAGTTGCAAGGGGGTGATTCAGTTGGAGAGAATTTAATTCCAATATCTGAGTGGTGGGTGGGACTGCCTTTATATAGATCTGCTTTGACTGGGAAAACCAATACCTGGTAAAGTGTTCTTGGTATACCAGTTAAGTAACATTGCCAGCAATCCTTATTTGATCCCCACCTTATTGTTGTGGCCAGGATTTTTTTATGCCTTACAGCTGGCAAAACAAGGGAGCCATGTTATACATGACTTTTCTATGCCATACTATTGCTTTAAAAAAAAAAAGCATATTGTAGAATGATCTTGGCTTCCTTCCTGTTGTTTGTTAAGCACTCAGTCCCAGTTTTAAGCATTAAGATTACCTTAGCCTTGCATGCAAGGAAATAGTGTTCCATAACTGGGTCTTCCTATATTAGGGCAATAAGGACGTGATATCTCTAAGGAAAATCCAAAGTTGGTGATTCTGCAGCTCCTGCAACAGACAGAAAATGAAGATGTACTTGTTGGCTTGGCTTTTTGAGATAATATTACGAATTTGGGCAGGAAATTCTGACGTTTCAATTATTTTCTTTTATCCTTTTGTTTTTCTTTTTGACAGGCCATAGAGCTGTGTACATTGGGCTACATGTCCCATTTGGAAAATCAGGCCGTCGACGTCATAGGCATCGTGGACACAGGCATCACAGAAGAAAAAAAGATAAGGAAACAGACCAAGATGATGGACGTGAGTCTCCATCATATGGTAAGAAATTTTTTTTCCTTGTTTGAATGTTTGATTTAAGATATGATAAACATAGCCAGTCTATGATATTAAACCTTGTACTTTTGCTGTTTTAAAAACTTAGTAATATTTGGGATCCATTTAGGGGCAGTTGCTGTTAATATTTTGGTACTAGGATTTACATCTCTACCTATTGGGATATGTGCATATATATGAAGAATTGGGGCTCATATTAGACAGGAAGTCAGAATAAGCCATCTTAATTTTTCCTCTTGGCATAAAGGCTAGGGTTGTGCAAAGCTTCAGTGTCTGACTTGTTTTGGAGAAGATTCGGCCTGTTTCGGTGGCCGAATCTCTGAATCTGAATTGAATCAGGAGACACATTAAAAGGTCTGAATCTATTTGGAAAAGATTTGGGGAGATTTGGATTGGCTGGAGAAAGGCAGGCAGCTCCGGGTGGCTGCAGGTTCTCTCGTGGCTCCTCTGGCTGTGCCTTCTTCTCCACTGGGTGTGGGGAGCCATGGGAGAATCCACCATGGCTGCCCTGCCTGGCCCCAGCCTCCTGGCACTTGAAGAAAAAAAAAAAAAAGCTCCTCACTCACAAGTTGTAGCAGCAACATTCAGGGCCTCTGAGGGCTTGTGGCAGAGCCCCCCCACATAGTGGGGGACAGCGGGGATTCCCCCCCATCTGGCACCTGCACAGCAGCTGCCCCATGGCACAGGTGCAGTGCAGCTTAGCAGGGTGCTGTGCACTGTCTGGGAGCTGGGGCTGAGTGGTGATGGGCTCTGGCTGACAGGTGGAGCCACCACAGCTCCCAGACGGGGCTCGATGCCCTGCTGAGCCATGTTATACCCATGCAATGCGACAACTGTTGTGCGGGTGCCAAGTTTCCTGGAGGTGCTCTTCTTTACCCTCTCCCCCCACCCCCAAACAGGAACTAGTAGCTTAGGGAGCATTTTCTGCTACAGTAGCAAGAACCTTAGACGCTAAAGGTACCTTTTTAAAGAGCTGTTCAAAAATTGCAGGAATAGCTTTGTCCAGGTCTCAGCAAACAGTGAAAAAGCTGTGAAATCATCCTTTTTCAGACTGCAATAATGCAATGGACTTCCTCTCCTATTTCTAGTGTCAGGGAATTGGACACAAGCAGAATATGGCTTTGCATAAAACTAGGATGTTCTTAGAGGTGCCTTTTTCAAAGTGTCCTGATTCTACCTTTCGCAGCCAATTCTTTGTTTTGCAAATGGACAACAGCCTTTTGGTTGTGTCCCCCTCCCCCTTCCATTCTCATAGAAACCAGCAATCTCATAAGTCAATACTGTTTGATTTTACTTACCCTCCTAGAAATGGTGGCAATAATACTGAGAATAGGGAAGAAGGAAGTGCATTTGTCTCTTGCTGGACAATTTCACTGATCAAATGCAGAGTGATAAGATTCCTGGAGTGTCTTGGATTTGGGACAGACACAAACAGATGGTATCAGGGAAGTCGGTCTGTTTTTGAATTGAGAATGAATTTTGCCAGGTGCAGGATCTCGCCTAAGAAGACAGAAGATGAAGTTGGCCAGAACAGAATTGTGTGTAGTGTCACATAAACAAAAAACCGATTCTCAGATTTAGAATCTGAGAACTATTATCGCATTCATAAGTGTGCTTCAGTGTCTGAAGGACAGTTTGTGGGACACTTAGTATGTCTAGGTTTTGCTTCTTCATTTCACTTCCCCCTTCATTGACTAGGGTGGGGGGGAACCTACTTTTGCTTGCTCCCACATCTAGGGAATACAGAAAATCATGCCTGTCTTTGCTTCCCTGAAAGGATCTTCCACATTCATTCCAGGAAAATGAGTAAGAGATCATTGTGAAGTATAGACTGGGTTGGAATAAGTTAGAGGATGAGCCAAAAGGGTCCAAGCTTGGGGTGGAGGAATGGACAGAAGTGTGTGCCTGTTCAGTTTCATTCCTGGCTCTGGTGGAGAATGTGTCTAAAAAGAATGTCGCCACTCAGTTGATATCAGTAATATCTCTTAAACCCACTGGTGAACTGCCATCGTCATATTCCCCTCTAGAGTAGGTCTACATAAAAGATAGATGCTATTGGTAATTCTCTTGATTTAACTGGTAGTGGTCTGTCTGTGTAGTAGACCTAATGGTTCCAATCCAGCTAATTGACCCCTGTGGTTTGTCAGTATGATGTTGTGTTGCCCTATGGGGTCAGGCTAATTCTCAGGATCTCAATATTGCGCTGTTAGACAGGAGGGTGTGACGCAATTGCATATATACAAACGCACAAATCAAGTAGGTGCATATTATATATATATAATATGCACCTACTTGATTTGTGCGTTTGTATATGTGCATATATATACACGCACATCCAAACCAGCCTAGGCACATGCATACCTATCGCCAGTTCAAGCACATACACTATACACCCCAAAAGTTAGACAAAAATCAATTGTCTGTGCCCGCACACTCAGTACACATGCACAGATCACTAATTCATATATCATGCACACAATGACACACACACACAGGTTCCTAACTTGGATGGTACGGTATATATGCATGTGCTTGGGAGTGGAAGTTGCCAGAACTGGGATTAGAACTGGTGGACAAGAGAGAAGCTGGCTGAAGAACTGAGGCTTGGGGTTCCTTAAGGTAGACAGGGGCTGGAAACTGAGGCAGACAGCTAAGATATTGGTGGGGGGAGGGGGCAGATAAGTGGTGGCAAAGAGACAGCTAGGAAAGAGAGAGAGAGAGAGACAGAAACCTGAGAGCTTGGGGCTGGAAACATCTGCCTCCCCCAATCTCTAAGCTGTCAGCGTAAGTGGTGGCAAGGAGGAAACAGTCAGGAAACAGACAACCCCAACTTGGGGTTTCAAAATAACAGGTTTATTAAACAGACAACACACTACACAGCCCCATGAAGTTACTGGTATGCACATGCACTCACAGTGGCAGCAGGAGAAAGAGACTCAGTGGAAGGGTTGGAGTCCAGGCAGGGAAGAGAAGCAGAGTCCAAGTCCTTGGTTGAAGAGGGGGTAGGGGATGATAGCTGCCTATCCAGGCTGGTGCTGTCCAGCAGGTGGTGTCCAGAAGAGGGTTGCTGGCAGGACCTCTGGGTGGATAGATGGTGTGGCATGGTGCTGGTCCAGATGGAGAAGGCATCCCCAAGGAGTCAGCCTTCACTACCCCTTTTTATGGGGTAGACTATCTCTGATCTCCTATGGGAGGGCCTGTCCAGGCAAGGTCAGTCCTATTCCAGAGGGCTCCAGGTGTTCTTACTGAGCATGTGCAGCCTTGGCACAATGGTGGGTTGCCTTATCTTTTTGTTTCTTGAATGCTGAGGGTGGTTCCAAGGGCTAGGTTGTTGGTCCAGGTATTGGTGTTGATAGTTTGGTCATTCAGAAGGAGCTATTTTTAGACCTACTGCCATTGTCTCTCAAGCACCCTCATTCATACCCATTCATTCAGGAACCAAGTTGCATAGGAGGGGTAGGTGTGAGTCATAGGTTACACAACCAAGCATGGGGATAGGATGGAGGCTTGACATTATAAGATGGAAACTTGACATGACTTGTGCTAACTTACATGTATAGGCCTAAAACAGTAGTCACACAATATAAAAGCAGTGAAAAATCAATACGAACATAATAATTATCACTTATAAAACAGTGGATATCTATATCAAAATAGCAGGGCACTTATTTGCAGAGGGGAGAGAAATAAAACTTGCTACCTAAAATAAAATGTTAAAGCTTATCCTACATCTTGGCTTGCTTATACTTAATCCATAGGGAATAGAGAAGGGGAGACGAAGTCAGAAACGGGGAA